CCCTCCATCTCCCACTACCTGTATAAACTTACCTGTAGTCAAAGAGCCTCTGGAATTCACATTAAACTCCCATTTCCACCTGTAGCACATCCATCACCCAACCCCTTCCTCAAGACTAGGTGGGAATTCTGCTTCGAGGACCAAAGGGAGGACCTCTCTCACTGAAACTCTGCTCCCTGCAGGAAGGGTCCTGGCGCAGGTTCACTGCCCTTTACTGAGTCCAGCTGTTCACTGTGGCTAAAGAGGGCCAATTCTTATCAGCCTCAGTCAGCCTCTTGGTAGCATTCTGACCTCTCCTAGCCTCTGTACATTCATCAGGAAAACAGAGGCAATGGCAGAGCACCACACAGCTTGCAAGATGAAGTAAAGCAGGGTGAGCAAGCACAGAAAGTGCTTAACACTTCCTTTGGCTTACTAGTGATCCAAGACAGCAATGACTGCGCTGCTGGACAGCAATGGCTTTAGAAGCATTAACCTGAAGCTTTAAGTTCCTCCTCTATGAAATAATGGGTTAAGAAAAGCAGTCTTGGAATCCTCTTCCAGCTCTATAAAAGTCTATCATGAACAGGCACATGTAATTATAAGATTGACCAAGATTATACAATCTTCATCCACAATGGCTGTGTGTTTAAGCCCCATTCCTCTGCTGAAATATAATTACCCTCTGACTGGCATGAGCTTCAAAAGCTCTCAGCTGACACAGCAGTGCCAGACGCTGGGCTGGGTCACCTCGGGGTGCCCAGCAGCCCGGTAGTACCATGACTTGTCCGTCCACTTGTTCTGAACAAGGACCACAAAACGCTGTTTCTGCTCATCCACTCACAGCCAGGGATGGTGAATTCAAGCCAAAACGCAGTTTGATCATGCTGAGCAAAAACTTCAGAAAATGCCAGGTGAGCCCTGGAACTTTTAGTCCAACAAACAGCAGCAAGAGCATTCAGAGAGCGCCAGGCCCCTAGCCTCACGGATGCTTGGCGTCCTCAAGGGTAGAGTTGTACAACCAGAAAATCATGTTTACTGTTTACCAAAAACTGAGCCCTGATGGAAACATATTCCAGCGTCGTTGAATCCATGTGACCCTGTTTATTATACCATAGAATTGAATTAGAAATAGGCATAGCAAATCCAAGTTAATCACTTGAGGAATTTAATTCTTCAGCCTTAGAAATCCCTTGTATCTGAGCAAAATAATTATAATTTCATAGTTTGGATTCTTTCCTAACTTAAGAAAAAGCCAGTGTCAGAAGTTTTTCATTATACTCTGCCTCACTGCTACCCAAAATCTGCTTTATTTTATGTGATTGGTGTTAAGCCGCAAACGTGGACTCTGATGAACCCTCTTCTGATGCTAGTGGAAAAATGCAGGCTGATAAAATTGGTGCTGGGCACAGATCATCCGCTAGCACCCTGCTTGATGGGATACGTGAGCCATAATAGAAAAGGAATTAAAAACACTCACAGCTCAGCAGCCCAAATTCATGGGCTCAAGTCCTGGCTTCTTCTTCTTCTTCTTTTTTCTTTTTTTTTTTTTTTTGGCAGTACCAGGGATTGAACTCAGGACTCTTTGCTTGCCAGGCAAGCGCTTATTCTACTGAGCTATCTCCCCAGGCCTGAGTCCTGTCCTGGCTTCTAAGAGTGCTGGTGATGAGACTGTCGCTAGTTAGCTACCCTGGAGAGCCCCGGTGAAACAACCAAAGCACTGCTCAGAAGAGAGGTAAGAGGATTGAACAGAATGGTCTACATACACCACTTAAAATAGTGCCTGGTGCATAGAACAGGTTCACCAAAATCCTGGTTTTACTACCATGTGCTGGATGTACAGATCCCCAGAGATGGCCCACTCATCCATGGTGCGGTGGTGCCGTGGTCACGAACTCCTGTGACCCTGGGGAAGGTGTCATGGTCGTGGGCATTACCCAGTGTGATGGAGCTCAAGAATGGAAGAAAAATTCTTCCCAGTTCTTCTGTTCAGGGGCCAAATTGATTGTGAACAGAAGCACTCATAAATTGTGGCATTACTGTATTTTTTAACGACATAGCGTGTTTACAGCATATGTGTTGACATGAACAAAGATGCAAGAGACTCTTGCCAAGAAGACTAAGACAGAAGCATCACTCCTCTCTTCTTGGGGAAGATAAGCAGGCTACAATCCCCTGGGCAGAGGCTGGTTGGGGGTGTTAAATGAAGACTGAGGTCTGAGTGTCCATCCTGGGTGTGACCTAGGTGTGACCCAGTGAGCAAGATGGTCCCTGAAGTTCCTAACTTATCTTTAAGAAATAACCTCACCCACCAAGAAGACCTGTCCTTTAACCACTAGGGTTTCAAACACAGTGCAGAGATTAAGCAAATACACTTGACCAAGGGAGGGAAAGGCCCAAGCAGAAGAAAATAGGACACACCTCACTATCTTTGTCATCATTGACTGAGGCAGAATTTGTCCCAGTATGTTAGACATGGTCGCACTAAAGGGAAAACTTGAAAATGAAGGACTGGAGGAGGTACTCAGCAGTAAAGGGGGAAAAGCTACTTAAGGGTGTAGAGAGAGACACGCTGTCCAGCCAAAGTTGAAAGAGAATGTGAATAGGAAAGCAATTCTGGTATCGGTTGTTCTCTGATGAGCACTTCAAATGCGCTGACTTTTTCCGTCTTCACACCACTAGATGATGATGAAGATACTGTGGTTTCCATTTTGTTTCATTTGTTGAAAGATTAAACCACTCGCCAAAAGCCAGCGAGCTCATAAATAGCAGACCAGGGATTAGGCTGCGTCCAACCACCCAGACAGAATGGGAATTGCTGCCCTGACATAGAAAGCTGATGGGACGTCAGCAGACGATGACTTTGGAATGAGATACGACCACTAAAAACTGAGGTAAGAGTAGAATTCTAGGCTGCCCTACAGAACTCTGTGAAGAGACAGCCTTCCCACCCAAAGTCGGAGTTCAGCTTTAAATAAAGATGTTCCAGAACATACTGGTGTGGATGTCCTTGACACATAATCCCTTCAATGACTGGAAGAATGATCCTACTTTTTAATTATAAGAAGTTTGTTTTTTTTTTTTTTAAAGTGGGGACTGAATACAGACTGAATGCAAGTCCCTTCCAGGGAGCAGCAATAAAAGAATGGTGTGAGAAGCACAGCAAGAGGACGGAGCTCTGCGGAGCACACAAAAGCCACCTTCTTCCGAGTGGTTTCACATGGGTGGAGAAAATTGTCATTCAGAGCCCGAACACTGGCCCTTTTCACAGCAGCTGTGCAGCGGTGTCAGGGGCAGGGGTGGGGACACAGGATTAATTATGTTGCTGGCTTCTCTCCCTCCTGCCCAGCAAATGTGCTGCAGAGCAAAAGGAATCACTTCTCCAAGCATCCCTGACAGTCCAGGGCTTCCAGAGAGGCAATGTCAGATCAGATCAGAAAACTGCATGCCGCCTGCTCTAGAGTGTCTTTCTAACAGCCCCATGTGTATTTCTCATCTCAAGAAACTTCTTAAAGTTTAAAAAGACTTCCCTGTCTCAGTTTCAAATCATTCTACCCAATTTCAATTTAGCCCTTCAGATCTGAAAAAGTGGCTTTGATTCCTAAATTTGGAGACTATAGACAGCACCTTTTTGGATTAATCTGAGCCTGTGACTGCACTCAGCACATTACAGAATAATCAGATTTTTGTTAGATTATTAGATGAAATTATAGAAACAGCTTTAGGTGGTTCAGGGGAAGAAAAGCATGGGAAGAACATCCCAGTGCAAACAAAATCCCCACATAAGTTGAAACAGATCCTTTCTCTTACTAAGGAGCCTTAAAAATAATCAACATGTAGGCAATTTTCTTAGGTACATTTCATCTCGATAAATATCAGCTAACCCCTTCCTGCCCCCTCTGCAGGAAGGACCACTAGACCCATTTTCCTAGGAGGAAACCCTGAGGTGGGCGCCAAAAAGGGGTGAAACAGATGGGCCCCCATCTCCTCTAGAACTTCCAATCTCTAGACCACTCACCCATGGCCAGAGACCACACCAGATTCTGAAGACTGTGGACTCTAAGACAGGCAGCAGGTTACAAAACATGCAAACCATAGCAGTAAGTAAGAGAAGCATGCGTGGGTGGTGAGCCCCTCACTACAGAGAGGGGCAGAAAGATCTCAAGAGGGGTGAGATGGAAGGAACACCTTCCTTTGTTAAAGGAAGGGGAAAAGGAGAAAGAGAGAAAGAGAGCACTGGTTGGGGAGGCCGGGGTAGGGACAGAGAAGCAACTGCCTGGAAAGTAACTTTGAATCAGTAAATACACAAAAGCTTGGTACTTTTACATTTGACTGAAATGAAATCTACACTGAACTGATGTTTCATGAATGTAATCATTCCCAATCACAACTTTAAAAACATTGATGAAAAGGTTACTTACATTGACCAAAAGAACGTTCCAGCTCTCACCCCTTGCTTGGTGGCTGTAATCCATAGCTAATGAGGAAAATATAAGAGGCTTATAATATGCTCTGAGTTTTGGTCAAAGAAGAAGACATTTGAGAAATACATTAGGTATCGGCCTGATACTCTGCCCATACCCCACCCTGAATGTCACATTACTTGCAAGCCCCTTTCTCCCACCTGGAAGTCAGAAGGGTTATTTCCCTGATACTATTCAATATGTTCTCTGCAAAAGTTCTCGAAAGCTCTGCTGTGACTCCAGTGTCATTTCTTTAAGCCTTTATTGCATCTCAAAAATCTCTCTCTTCTGTATCTGCCTTGTCTGATCACTGCTTTGAACATTTCATGCCGGGGCAGAATCCTGCTCACTGAAGAACCAGGAGTAGACCAGATTTCTCTCAACGATTGAAAGGCTGCAGAGGAGCCCGACCTCTTAGCCTCCCTCTGCCTCGTGTCCACTGTGATGCAGACAAATTTTCTATCATATGAAGTAACGGTACACTTGAATGAGTTCACATATTCAAAGTCCTTAAGCCTGGGCCTTAGCATTTGGCACACAATCGATGGATCTGTCTTTATTATTATGCAATGATGGAAATAACTGAAATCCAGTTATTGCAGGAACATTTAAAACAGCTTAGGATGGCCAGGATCCCACAGGCAGACATCTACGATAGGAAGCCTCTCACTTAAAGGAAAAGAGGGGGCGAAAGGTAGATTGTTTGTTAGGAGACCGAAGACAAAGTCCCCCATGAGGCGCAGCCAGCTCCTTTTCTGGCTTTACTGCACCCTGACTTTGACAGTAGCTGGGGACTCTGGGGAGAAGCTTTATTTGTCATGGGAATGCTTAGCTAGGCATTGTAGGACATCCAGGCACAGGGCCATGGCTTCAAAGGGCATGTGACGCCAGCTTGGAAAGCTTTGTACAAGAGCCCCAGGCCCCCAGGACATTTAGAAAGGTTCACCCTCGAAACCAGAGCTGCTTTAGTTGGTCAATGAAACCCAGGTGAGGGAGAACAGTGCGGGCCCTCAAATCCCTGGAGCTCTGAGCCAAGGCAGTGCTCACCCACAAGGGAGGGCAGGGCCCTTGCCCGGGTGGCACACGGCTCCTGCTCAGCCAGGTCCTGTGGACGATGTAGACATGCGAATTGCAGGTTCTCTGAGTGTGCTCCCCAATGTCAGACCACAGCGCCTTTCTTCTTTATGGATGGAAGCTTGCATGGTCCAACAGGGGCCAAACCATGTCCTGGTTTGGTGGGAATGTAAACTAGTGTGAACATACAGAAACCAGTACACAGATTCCCTAAAGCTAGAAATTCTATTCGATCCAGCTATTCCCCTCCTAGGAAGCTTCCCGAAGAATTAAAGACATAACTAAATCTTGGAAGTAGCCTATATGTCCCTCCACAGATGAATGGATAAAGAAAAAATGGTTATACAATGTGGAGTACTACTATGCCATAAAGAATAATACGCTTAGGTCATTAGTAGGAAAATGGATGCAATTTGAGACCATCATGTTAAGTTAAATATGTCAGGGACACAAGCTTAACTATTGCAGATTTCTCTTAAATGAGAAACCCAAACTATAAATAAATAAAAGAGAAAAATCAAAGACAGATAACAGGAAACAGGGAGATGGATCTTTTGCAAAAGGAGGGGACCAAGAGATGGAGGGGAGGAAAGAGGACAGGAGCCAGGAGTGTAACAGAAACAAAGCTCTGCTATGTGCATAGACCAACGCCCATGATGAGTGGGACCTCGTGTACAGCAAACACACATGCTAGTCAAAAAGGCTTTTTTAAAAATGTGTCCTGGAAACTCACCCACCTTTGCCCCTGCCTCCCCACTAACAAAACAAAGCTCAAGTGAAGTCACCTAAGTCCCCCTCGGCTTCCTCAGAACCCAACCGTGAAGTCCTAAGTCACCCTCAGCTTCCTCAGAACCCAACCAGTCCCCAGGGAAACCAGGTTATCGCATCATGGCGCTGAGTTTTGCACTTGCTTCAATTCCCTGGCACAAGCTCAGTGGATTCCCACCCAAGCGGCTTCCCAGGAAATCGGGTGCCTCGCTATTTCCAAGGAAATTATACCACAAAAAATTCACATTTATAAAATACATGCTCAGTCAGGGCTTTTCCAAAGGAAAAAGTTTTCAGTACAAATCTGTCAAACAATGACCCTACGCTTTTCAAATTTATGTTGTAGGACACACACTGACGTTGGCACATTCTCTAAGAATATCTTCAGTGCAGGTTCCCCTAGAATAGGAAGGCCACCAAAAGGGTCTTCCCAGTGTTCAAAGGTGCACACAGATGACCAAGTGAGCATGTCATGGTGGTCCTGATGGTCCCCACTGCACAGCACCACCGAGCCCAGGAGTACAGGGAAAACGAAACCCTGAGGGGGCTGAGCAGATGGCTTGCTGGCCAAGCCTGGGGGCAGGTGGCAATGACGTGGGCCTGTCCACCATCGGTCTGCCTCCACCTTCTACACTTCTGTGACATTCCCTGTATCCCTGGAATACTCCTGAGGTCTCAGTCCACTGACTACGTATATGAGAGCTTGCAACACATTGTTTCTCCTAGTTAAGACATTCAGTGCAGTGCTAGCCCCACCCCCAGAGCGTGCTGAGATGACAATTGAGAATGGGAGTGGTGGCATGCACCTGTAGTCCCAGCTTTTGGGAGGCTGTAAACGGGCGGATGACTATGAGTCTGATCTAGTAGAGAGACCCTGAACACCCTGTAGACCCTTCCCTAAAATACAAAAGACATTCAAAGGAAAAACTCAAGTTTGTTCTTTTTTTTTTTATTATTATTTATTTGTGTGTGTGTGTGTGTGTGTGTGTGTGTGGCCAGCGCAGCCCACCAGGGGGCGGCCCTGGCTGGCATGTGGTGCTGGGGGATTGAACTGCAGTCCCTTTGCTTTGCTAAGTTTTTGTTCTAAGTAGGTGCTTTAGACCACTGAGCCATCTCACCAGCCCCTCAAGTTTGTTCTTTATGTTTTTCCATACTTCTCAAAATTTTGCTGTGACAGGCTGGGAAAATAGCTCAGTGGTCTAAGTGCCTGTCTGGCAAGCACAAGGACCCGGGTCCAATCCTCAGCACCACATGCCATGCCGTCCCCAGAACCCAGGTACACCGTGCCTGCCTGAATCAGGTCATGGTGACACATGCCTGTAATCACAGCACTGCACTGGGGAGGCTGAGACAAGAGGATCTCTATAAGTCCGAGCTGTGTAGTGAGACCCTTCAAGTAAATAAATAAATAAATAAATTTTCAAAAATTCTTTTCAAAATTTTGCTGTGACAACGTAATTATGCTAATTATGAGGACAATTTAGAGCTCAAAAGTATCTTTCTATGAAAAAAAGTAGAAAAATTCTCTCCACTTCTTTATAAATACTACGTTACCTATATTATCTAAGAGAAAATTGGGAGCATGGTCAAAAAGAGAACAAACAAAACCTGAGCAAATTATAGAGACTACTTGAAACTAAAAGGACATTTAGAACTCCGTTTCTCCGCACCAGAGCACTACTCTGCCATAAAGAAGGCCAAGCTCGAGTTCCCTGCACGAAAAGGGCGCCTCTCAAGCCCGTGACGTGAGGGGACTAGGTCAGACACATGAGCTCCGGTAGCGCGGGGAGTCTCCTCCAGGACAGACTCAAACTTAAAAAAGCAAAATAAAGGACGGATAACAAGAAACAGGGAGCTCGGTCTCTTGCATATCGGGGAGGACTGAGTCGGAGAGAGGCAGAAACAGAACACAAAGGGAGCGAAGATGCATGTGCGGGGCCGCCTCTGTGCGCGGCGCGGCCATCATCCCTGCCAGCACGGACTGACCACCGGGATTTTCTTTTTAATCTCAATCCAAACCCTCTAGCGCCACCGCGATGGAGTGCATCTGTCCACCAGAGGGGCGGAGGCCGCTGTTACCGAGATGGGAAGAAACCAAGGCGGTGAGGAGGCTGAGCGGGCCGCGGAGCACGGTGCGGCAGGAGGGGTGGCCACGTCCACCCACCGGTTAAGAAAGCAGCCGGGTCCCAAGGCCAGCCGAGCCCAGCGCCATGCGGACGTCGCCTCCAGGGACGGGGCGCAGCCGGGCAGCGCACGGCGTGCAGCTGGGGCACCGCAGGGCACCAGGCTCCAGTCAGAGGGTCACTGTGGAGAGAGGATGACGGTCCACATGGAAACAGCCATCTCACGGGGAGAAGGTCGAATGCATGATGCGGAAAAAGAAAGAAGCCCCCGCTGGGGCAGGGCGCCCCGCAGAGCACTCAGCAGAGCCAGGGCTGAGCAGCAAGGCCTCTGGGGGCACACCTTCGAGGAGGACTGAAGACGGGCGGGGGCCCAAGAGGAAGGGGACCCAACCTAAGCCACCCAGGAGGAGGCAGACGGGGCGGGGCGCTGCTTGGTGACAGAGCAGGGACGTGGCCGGCGCGGGCCCGGGCTCCATGCCAGCCATGAACAAGAAGAGAAGACCCAGGCAAAGAGAAAGCACCACAGACCCACGACAGAATGTGGAGAAGAAAGGATAGCATAAAGAAACGGGAGAATGTTCCTGCGCAGGAAGCTGGGCCTCCCCTCCCAGGGCACGACCAGAGCACTAAGCCGCAGCTTCCCTCCGGGTCCTTGCCACCCCGACACTGCAGCGAATCCAGCGCCGGGTCTCCTGGCCTCTCTGCCCACCGATGCAGGCAGAAAGGGCTTCCAGGCCCAGCAGCGAGAAGCCCACGACACCTGCCGCTCTTGAAGTACCCAGACAAGCGCACTGGAAAGGGGGTGGGTTGGGACTCTGTCTCAGAGCCCCGAGCTTACTCCAAGCCTGGGCACCCCCCCCCCGCCCCGCCACTTCTCGTGGCTGCACACGGTGCCCCGAGATGGCGTGAGCTCGGACTGTGAGGAAGGAGAGAGGACCCCACGCCGCACGCTGCGGGAGGTCAGCCAGAGATGCCCATCCCGGGATGCCCGTCCTGGAGATGCGCCTGCGGAAAGCGGGGTCGTGTGGCGAGGGGCAGCTTCTCAGCGTGCATGCTGAAGGCTGGAAAATTAAAGCCTAAAGTTTAAACTTGACTTTTTTTTTTAATGTGAAATTCAAAGATAGAAATTATTTTTGGAAGCCTCATGGCGAGATCAAGTTTTTAGCTGAACACTAGATAGATATTTCCATCCACTGTCCCACTGGAAGCTGAGAAGTGACTCTCATTCCTGTCATCCGGCCCTGTATTACTCAGCCAAGCATCTTGCATGGCTTCATCCTTCAGTGAAATAAGTTGAGCTTAATTTAACTAGAAGTCTAAGAGTTTTACAAATATTTTCTTTTTTCTGGTTATTTTTTTCACTGGTGACTTTGTGAAATGTACAGGACTCCAGGGAGGTTTGCAGAAGCACCCAAGGAATATTCATCAATCCTTTCTCCCTTTTTTTTCTCTTTTTTGGTACCAGGAATCTAACCCAGGACCTTGCGCTTGCCAAGCAGATGCTTGTGCCACTGAGCACTGCTGTCCAAATACTTCCACTAAAATGTGTTTTTTAAGTAATCACTACCATGGTCCTTAGAATTTATCATGCAAGTGGTACAATCACTATGGAAGTCAGCTTGGAGAGTCCCAAAAGACTAGAACCAGAAACTTCATCTGACCCAACAAATCCCCCTTGTGGGTATCTTCTTGAAAGATTAAAGATGCCCTGTTACAGCAAGACACACACCCATGTTTCTCGCAGTGCCATAAGCAACAGCTGAACCTTGGGAGCAGCCTGTGTGTCCACCCTAGCGCATGAACAGATAAAGAAAACGTGGTATTTGCACACAGTGGAATACTACTGTGCTATAAAGAAGGAAAGACTTGCATCATTTGTAGGAAAATGGTAAACCTGAAGACCATAATGTGAAGTGAAATAAATCAGACACACTAGCTTAAATATCACATAGTTTTTCTTATATGAGAAACCAAATGTATAAATAAAGAGCAAAATGAAAGATAGCTCATAGGGGACAAGGACAGAGATAGAGGAAGGGGAGAAGGTGAGGAAGGGGAGGGGTGACACAGTATCTCTCCCAGGCTCAAAGGCCTCCCGCTGGGCTGGCCACCTCCCTCCTTGGCCCCTGCACAGCTGAGCTGAGTAAACGCTGGCCCAGGTCACGCTCCCCAGAAACCCTGATGTGCACGTCGAGTTGACCCAGGCAGTTGCAAGTACCATGTTTATGTTCTCTGGGTTCCTCAGAAGATGGGCTTCTGTGATAAAACTATTCCAGAAGACCAACTGGCGATGCCCTGACAGAGCTCTTGTTTCTATTATCCCACTTACTCCTCAATGTTTCTCTGTCCTGCCCTCTGGGGGTGTGTCCCTGAGGTCACAGACTGGGTCACCACAGACCTTTTCTAGAACAAGTGAAATAATAACAGCAGAGTACTGTAGAATATCTGAACATCTATTATAAAAAATATTTCTGAAAACACACAAGAAGACTTTTGATGTTAATTGCTTTAAAAAAGCCCACACTCCCCTTGCAGCATGGAGACTCAGTAGTGACTTGCTCCGGCCACAGTGACTGCCATACTCAAAAGCAGTGTCTCAGAAGACGACAGCTCCTCCGCGTGCTCTCCCTCCTGTGGACTGCAGCAAGCACCCTGGGGTCAGGGTCACCCTGGGAGGGAGGCTCCACAGGCAAAAGCAAAGCCACACAGCCCAATGGCCCCTGCACAATGCCTCCCAGTCTCCTCCTGCTGGAGTCACCAGCAGCAGGGTGGCCAGCCCGGAACCATCTCAGCCCTTCTGCACACGGCTGAGCCAGTGCCCAGGCCTGGTCTGCAGGGCTCCAGTCCTCCAGCTACCCAGCTTGACAACTATGGCTGCCATATGCCTCATGTGTGCCATGCACGGTCACAGACAGGCCAGCAGGCCCCAGCCACCCACAGCCATTTTAACATGGACCCAGGCATTTGATCAAAGGTACACGGGGCAATTTCTCTGTTAGTATTGATTGCTGTTCTCAGAATCTCTTCATATTTGAACCTCTGTGATTTTAAAAATGGATAAAATAAGCTAGGCATGGTGGTGCACACCTGTCATCCCAGCACTCAGAAGGCTGAGACAGCAGGGTAACCCTGAGTTAAAGGTCAGCCTGAACTACACAGCAAGACGCTCAAAAAAAAAAAAAAAAAAGAAGAAGGAGAAGGAGAAGGAGAAGGAGAAGGAGAAGGAGAAGGAGAAGGGGAAGGGGAAGGGGAAGAGGAAGGGGAAGAGGAGGAGGAGGAGGAGGAGGAGGAGGAGGAGGCGGCGGCGGCAGCAGCAGCAGCAGCTGGATAGAATTTCCGAATTCACAAATCTGTTATGGGTTTCAGTAAGTGTCTTCACCTCCCACGTTTTCTTGTTGCTATTGATGACAACATCATCTAGTTTTCTTTTTCCTTGTATTCCCAAGTATGGTAAATCAGTAAGATTTATCTACTCCTTCAAAATGCTCTGAAATTCAATCTGTGACACTGTTTGGACACCATCCTTACAAAGACATTTACCGTCTCACACCTTTATGCCACTGCACACACTATACATAGATGCACACACACACGCGCGCGCGTGCGTAACTGTATGTGCCCCACCTGCCCAGGTGTAGATTAGCATATACACATCACAAGTACATTGAACCTACACATATGACATGTGTACTGTATATATAATATCAAAAGATAGAAACATGACAAAACAGGATGAAGTTCTACAGATCTGTTCCTCAGGTAAAAGATTTGGGGTAAAATACTCCAACACACGTAAGAAGGAAGTCGGCACTCACCGGCTGACCTCCCCACCAGCGGTGGTTAAATTTCTCCCGCCCTCGGAGGTGGAAGGTGGCATCAAACACAGGATCATACATGGAATTACCCACAATGCCATGCGATTCTGGGTACAGTCCCTGGTGAGAAGGTAGATTCAAAGTTAAGACAACAATGCAACAACCCATGTAGATTTATCCTATTATAAATTTTCTTATCACAGAAGTTTATGTAAGATGGCACTCCATTTCTAAAAGTATATAAGATGCATAGTGTTTTGATTTGGGTTTTTTTTTAATTTTTAAAATGCATTGCTATTGCTTCTCTGAGGTTTCATTATTTTTTGACAGTTTCAAAACTGATCAATAGGACAATTTCAATAATTAATACATTGTACATTGTTATCTTCTTAGTGGTTATTCATAGTACAAGAAGCAGACAGGATATCCTGTCCAAACACTATTAGTACAAATCTTTCTTCTCATTGAATTAAGTGAAAGTAGCTGTATACCTAGCCTAACTATTGTGCATATATAGATGCAAAACGGTCCTTCCTTTGTATCCCCTTTCTTTGTTTAGTCCTGTCAGAGGTGGGTATTCCATTGGCATCTAAATACTGTAGGTGCATGAATTCATCAAAACAATCCAACACAGTCCAGCAGTCCACAATAGTAGTGGGTTATCCACAGAAGCTGTTGACTTGAGCCTTTCACAGCTCAGCATATTAATATAGCTTTACTTTGTATACCTTGTTTTTATATTTTTCTGCTAGATGGTTAAGACCAAGATAAAGCAAGACCTATAAAACAAGAAATGTAACTTTTTATCTGATAAGTTCAGTCAAATCCCCTCCACACTTATCCTGAAACCCTGTACCGCACTTTGCAGATCCTTTGTCAGTGTCAGCCATGTGGATGAGTCACGGCCATTGCTTGACCACTGTGCTCTCTGTGAAAGCCTGAGAGAATGTTTTCTCTCCATGTGACTCTCCTTAGGCACACCTGACATCATCAATCACTTTCCTCTTTGACCCCATAATCTCCTTGATCAGAAAATTTGGGACACGGCTGAGTTACATGATGTTATAGTATAGGTCCTCCTATTCCCTGAGTAGTGTTTTGAGAGTTATAAGTCATTTGAGAAACTTGACATAACTACAAAAAACTAAATAGTTGGCTTTCTTAACTGTAGGAACAATGAAAATAACACTTTTATTATTTTAGGGTGAGATGTATACAATGCCTCCAAAGAACTTTGATTTCTAAATACTCTTTTCCTTTAGTCCAAGCTAGTTCTTTCCCTCGAACAACAGACATAACAGTCATAAAATAAAAAGTGATTTGATCTTAAAGAAGAAAATCAGGTTGATTTGGAGTACCGGAAAACGAAACATAGCAACTTTAAAATCAACTTTTTCATTTACAAAGCTAACAACTGTTGTAGGAAACAAATTTCCTTTGAACACTGAGGAACGTATTTTAAAATCCTCTACTTTAAGTTGGGTGTCATGCACACACCTGTAATTCCAGCACTCCGCAGGCTGAGGCAGGAGGGTCACCATGAGTTCAAGGTCAGCCTGGGCTATGTACGGAAATCCGGTCTCAACCCCTTACTCCCCTTTACATTAACCCAGGATGAAAATCAGCCCTTTGAATACACATAGCTTGGGAAAATACTCACGGTAGCCAGGGTGTACAAGTTTGGGAAGGTTTTGGTAGGGTACACAGGCCTCATGTAGGGAGAGTGTGTACCGCAGGACCCTGGAAATACAAGGCCAGTTGTTAGGACCAACGAGCCAATAGCAATCCCTTCTTGGATAAATCCACGCTATGAGCACTCAGGAAGCGTGCGTTTCCGACAGCAAAGCACGCGGCACAGCGGGCTGCGGAAGCGAGTGCAGGCTGCAGGCCACGTGGACTTACTGAGCTTCTCGATGTTGGGCATGACCTTGCTGCCCTTCTTCATGTAGGATGCACGGAACCCGTCCACCGAGAAGATGATGAGCGGAGGGCGGACGAACCTGAAAGAGCAACAATCGCAGCTCAGAGTGGCAGCAGCCAGCCACTGCTCTGCTGCAGGGTCGTCCGCACCACCCACCCAAGAGCAACAGGCCAGGAACCTTCCCGGAAGGGGGCCTGGGCACAGACGTTTCCAGACACGTCACATCCCAGGTGACATCAGTCCGGGCTACATGAGTAAGGGAAAGGGTTGGACTCTAAGATTTCTCTTCATGTACACACTCTGTTGCCGCTGCTGCTTGCTTTACAAACAAAAATAATACATGCTACCTTTTAAAAACTTACATTTGCCTTAGAATGAGTTCTGTCCCACTGCCACCTGGAGAACTCCTCTACATTCTTTAAAACCCAGCCGGAAGCCTCCTCTTCTATAGTGTGAGCTGCTCACACCTCCAATTACTATTAGGACATTGCTTCCTAGCCCTCTTCCGTCACCCATGTGTCCATCACTGTATGCTACTCTGCAACAACCTATTAACCTGTTTCTCTTCTCTATAAGTTTCCAAGATGTTGGGCCCGGGGAGATAGCTCAGTAGAATAAGCACTTGCCTGGCAAGCGTAGGGTCCTGAGTTCAATCCCCGGTACCACAAAAAAAAAAAAAAAAAAAAAAAGCAGCTGTGTGTATCTCAGCCATCTTCCTATCTTGTGAACCCTTAGTAAGTCTTCAGTACCCCCAATTCAGTCATTCACACACAAGTGGACGAATGAATGCATACATGTGAAATTATTAGCACTCTTGCCCCTAAATTGAAGTACTTATTTTAAAGTTCTTTTAATTCTAATTATAAAACACTTCCAAAAATAACTTAAATTATGTAGACCTCTAGAACATATAGCACTAAAGAACTAGACTATTCCTTCACCCAGGCCTGTAGCCTATAAAATGACCCTTTATTATTCTAGCTGATGAAACTCGAGCATGCTGAAACATCTGCAGAATTACTTCTAACAGTTTGAAGTTGATAGAACAAGTGTACGTTGGTATTTTTTAAAAGCCATGTAATGAACACAATGAGTCACGTGTAAAGCACACTAAACAATATTATATGAGGTGACAATGACAGTAGCCCAGTTCTTCATTTACCAGGGCCGCTTACTCTACAGACTGCTTTCTCCTCAGAAACCACACCTCAGGAGAGTCAGGAAGCGTCACCACTCTGCTCTACTGGACCAAGATGTCCAAATGCCCCCAACTGTTAAAAAGGAAGCAAATGAAAACATCTAGATTTTGTGTCTCCCATTATATTGCATAACACAGCTAAGTATTTAAAAGACCAAATACATTATGGAAGCACATTTGCTGAAAAGGCATTTTCTGCCAAGCATCTGCAAGGTCCCTGAAGTGTCAGCAGTTTCCTGGAAGGCCTCCTCAGTGCCTGGCACTGGTCACACCCGAGCTGGGGGCTGTTGCTCCAGCCCTGCTCTGCCGCAGGGTTTCCCGGGCTTTCCGTGCCTTGGAGGACAGTGTTTAGTTCCGCATCCCCCGCTTCCGTTCCCCTCCCCCACCCTTCAAAGCGCCAAGAAGCAGAACTCCAGGGAAAAACACTGAAACAGAAAGTCCCTGCCTGAAATGCTTCTTTCTCCCGTGACATCCATACACACTTTGTGAAACCTTCAACTACGTGGAAAACATGATAGCTCTTCTAAAGTTGAAAGGCAAAAAAAAAAAAAAAAAATCCAAATTTATAGATAGCCTTGGGATGTCGAATTACTAGTGAGTACTCACCAGTTTGTCTGTGGAAAGGGATTTCAGTTTGGCATCATTTATAACCAGTTACCCACCATTCTCTGTGCTGCTTATCACTAATGGCTTGGACTTCGCGGTGTCCCTCGAGCCCGCTTACCCGGCAGGACACTCCGGGGCCTTTATCTCTTCGCAGTCATCATCCACCCAGTGTGTTTCTCCTACAAGGAAAGTAGCCAAGGTCACCTAGAGTGTAATTAGGGATGTCACCCAGAGCCAGGAAGCAAACAAGCCCGGCACTGATGTCCTCTTGGACACTTGCATATGACATAACATCTAAAAGAAATTCTGACATAGAGTCTGGTGTCTGGTTTGGCTTTTAAAGTACACCCATACCTGGTGGGAAAGCTAAGATTTTATAACCTCAAGTGGTGTTTATTTGAGCCTTCAGAGTCTAGATGGTTGGTAGATTTAAAAACCCAGTGGCGTCAGTGAACTAAATTTCATGTTTGTACCCTCCAGAAACAAACTGTTCGGTCATTTGATGGAACATTCTTTGCTCTACCACCGAAGATCCCAAAGCCACAACAGAGCTTCCCTGCAAAGAAGGCAAAAGCTCCAAGCATAAGCGGTGATCGGGGACAGATGACCGTGGACAGCTTACTTCCAATGGACCTGTGGACTGCCTTGAATTTAGAAATGAAGGCTAATCTACCTCTTGTTCTAATCCTGTACTGAGATCTGAGAACATAAGCTTTGCCCTTCCCTGGGTAAGCCCTATCAAGAACGGAGAACAAAAAGCGCTGAGTTAAACTACGTATGAAACTTAAAGAAGCTAACTAACTGTGCATGGCAGCCCATGCCCGTAATCTCAGCACTCCAGAAGCTGAGAGAGGAGGCTCTCTGAGAGTTCAAGGCCATCCTGAACTGCAGAGTGAGATCCTGTCTCAAAAAAAAAAAAAAAGAGACAGACACTAGTGGAAGGGAACTTGTCACCCTCTGGAGAGACTCATGCACATGCTGCAGGACTGGATTCACTCCCACAAAATGGGCTGCAGGAGGGGAGTCTGCAGTTCATGTTCTGTACAAGCTCTCATCACTGAGGCTTGAGCTGGCAGGGGGTGATGTAGCCAGAAAGCGCTCACCAGAGAACTGATGGGCAGGGCTGCCCTATCTCATCTTTTTAGCCTCCAAATCTATGATCTAAAAAATTCCCTCTTTGCAGTACAGAACACCCAGCCTCAGGTGGTTTGCTACACAACGCAGCTCACACATTTCAGAGCTGAATTGTTCTTCTCCCAAACTCTTTTGAACAGAAATGGTGATGCGGTCCATGTCAGAGAGAGGAAGGGGTTTAATTCAGAAAGCAACAGTGACTTGCAAGTTAAAGATATAGGCTCTTGAGCCTTCCCAAATTAACATCCATGAGTGGTTGGCATGGTCCCTTATGCAAGCTCCTTAAAGACAAGGAGCGTGCCTTTCAGTCTTCACAGCCCATTGATTATTGTTAACTATTCACTAAAGCATGGTAGTGTAGCATTGGCCATAGGAAGTCAACTCACAGACATGCACAGCTTTGGTACAGCGGGGGCTGTTGGAGCCTTCCTGGTCTAAACTAGTAACTGTGCCTACAGCCTGCACCTTGGGAAACTTGCACAAAATTCATGCGCTTTGCCCCAAAATAAAACTCAAACTCTTCAGATCCACCATAGAGCAGGCCACAGGGAACCTGCCCTGGGACCACATCCTTCTTTGCTGTGCCTGCCCCCACCCCACCCGCCTCCCTTGCCCTCTCACTGGGCTCTGGTTCGGAGCACCCCTCACAAGCTTGTGCACCAATTCCTATCTCAGGGTCCACGTCTAGGAAACTCAACCTAAAACTCAGACAAAGTACAGAAATCTCTTTCTTATCAAGGTTCCATCTACTTAGGAAACTCTGCTTTATTTCTTAACTATTTCTGATCAGTGGAAATCAAAGACAGCAAAAAGAAGCACGAGGAAAAACAGGGTACGACTCCTTTCCCTCCCAAAGTCACAGGCCAGGTGGCAGATCCGCCCCATGTGTGACATCTTGGAACACCTCCAGTCTCCACCGCTTCCAGTCTCAAGCCCTTCCCGCAACTCTTACCTTTGCAGACCACCTGGTAGTTGGTGCAGCAGTCTCCTCGGGCCAGGCAGTCCTCGGAGCAGTGGCAGGCGTGCTCCTCATTCCGAACCTCCCCGCATCGGTCCTTGGTGCACTCCCAGCCGCGAGCTGCAATCACCGCAAGAAAGCAGGTTCCCCGCTGTCCACAGCACAGGAAGGAGCCATGCTGGCCCCGGGTGCCCCACAGGGAGTGCTAAACTCACAGGCCCTGTCATCCGGGTCGGCCTCTGGCCTGGACAGCAGCTGGAGAATTTAGGTATCAGATGCCATTTATGCGTTTTTCAAATGAGAGGACAACCTCAAAAGCCCCATGGAGCTCTTTCAGAAAAATGGAATTGGAAAAGACAAGAAAAGTTCCCCTCCTGTTCCGCAGTTGTCTAATGCCCTCAGGGCAGTGTCGGGCAGAAGTCTGTGCAGCGAACCTACCTGTCAATGAGAGACAGTCCCTGGGGCTCTGCTTGTTTGTGTTGGGAGTAGCTTTGCTCAACCCTGGCCAGCTTGATTTAAAAACAAGAACCAAATTGTGCTGCTATAAACACTGATGCATGTATATCACTGTGGCGTGATGGTTCTAATTTTACCTTTTTTCCATAGAATAAAAAACAAAAACAGGAGGCAGCAGCCACTGCCTGCTACAGAGCCTGCCTGAGCCCAAGTCCGCACACAGGTCTAAAGAGCGCAAAGCGGCCAAAGCACGCACAGCCCGGACCAGACCAGGGAAGCAGCTAAGGCCCGCCAGCCCAGAGGCCCCGCCTCCTCCGAGGCCCCGCCTCCTCCGAGGCCCCGCCTCCTCCGAGGCCCCGCCTCCTCCGAGGCCCCGCCTCCTCCGAGGCCCACAGACAGAGCACAGCTTCTTGTGGCAGGCACTCCACTGGACGCTCACGGTTCAACCTTTCCGAGGAAAAAGGTTCAGAAAAGGATCTTCCCGTTTTGATGAGAGCCCTGTGTCTTCAGTTTGTTAGACTTTTTGCTTGACTCAGAGTTCTGAGGGAGATGGACATCACCTGTCTATTTTCACTGCTTATTTCTAGGCTCAATGCGCCACGAATACTTACGAAATCCCCTGGAAGTGAGCGCCAGGGTGAAGGGTGGCCCCGCGCGCAGCTGCGGGCCGGAGAGCGCGCACGGCTCACTCGCGCGTGCAGGAGTCTTTCTCCCACCTCCTCTGGGGGACAGCAGTGGTTCTGGGATAGACTAAAGAGCCAGAGCGACCGAGCCCCCATCTCACGGGATGCTCACTGCAAGTGGAAGAGGCAGACTGCACCACGTAAAGCGATACACTCTCACCAGCTAGCGCTGCACACTGTGAAGGGAGCCACAGAAGACGCTGGCAGACAGCGCTGGCTAGGTTCTCCTGGAGAAGGGGTGTCAGCAGAAGCCGCCTCAGAGCTGGGCACACACCTGTGATGCCAGCACTTGGGAAGCTGAGAAAGGAGAACTGCCGTGGCTTCCAAGGCAGCCTGGGCGACACCGTGCGATCAGGCCCAGCCTGCACTACACAGTGAAATCCTGTCTTTAAAAGAAAAAAGAAAGGATACAATAGAAAGGAAAGTTAGGATTCAAAGTGAACTACAAACAAAACGGGTCAGCTGTACCATTGTCAAAGAAAATAGGTGAAGTGAAATAAAAATATTTAACCTTATTGGAAAATAAGATTACCTATCAGTTCAGAAAAAAAATAACTTTAAAGATGAGAGCATTTAGTTCAGTGCTTGCCTAATATCCACAAGGCTCTGAGTTTTATCCCCAGAGAAAGACAGACAGACAGACAGACAGACAGACAGACAGACCATATCCATTGGTAAAAAGTAGTAAAATGCCTTGGGGCCCTTTGGTAGAACTGTGAGCATTCAGAAGTACATTTTTATAATATACACTTAAATTTTTAAGTGCATGTAGACTTTGACCAGAAATCTCACTGCTAGGACTACATCTCAAGGAAAATAAGCAAAAGTATGAATGTTCATGAGTAGAATATATTAATAAAACTTGGGGAGATACAAATGTTGAATAACTATTCAATCAAATAGACTTCAACCCTTCAATTCTATACTAGATAGTCATTCAAAAGAACAATTTGAGACTGAAGCAGGAAGATTGCAAGTTCCAGGACATCTTGGGAAACTTAGTGAGACCCAGTCTCAAAAGAAAATAATGAAAAAGGCCAAGCTGTAGCTCAGTGGTAGAGAGCTTTCCTAGCACAAGCAAGGACTTTAGTTCAGGATCTAGTACTAAAAAAAAAGCCAATATGTGTGATGCTTATAAAGGTTTACAGATGTAGCAACTCCCACACACGTGCATACATGCATGCTTGTGTACGTAAGTACACATGCACACACGCTCAGCACACACGGAGACGCGGGCAGCCGGCTCTGTTCATGCCAGAACACTTGGCTTGCTTCTAGAGAGTGCTTGGGGCAGGTTAGCTGAGCCTCAGATACGACCTTCAGCTTCCCTTCCTGACACTTGATTTTCCCCCTCTCAGTACATGACGCCTTTGTGCACAGGACAGATCCCTCCGCTATCACACGTCCTTACAGTCCCACCTCTACTAAGCCACGGACAGGAGGCGTGAGGTAAGCGGGGTCAGGGCGCCTGTTGCTCTTTGCAAGGAACTGCAGACAGGACTTTGAGACTGATGTCCATGTTGGGGACAAGACCCTCTAGCTCGGGAGGAAGCACAAAACACCAGGGAACCCTCAGTGCCAAGCAGACTCAGGCTGCTAGTTCACAATGACACTAGAGCTGTGAAACATTAGTCTCTTAGCCAGAGCCTCCACTCCACCTCTGCGGGCTAGCACTCAGGTGTGCAGAGCTGCAGTGCAGGAGCTGCGAGGAGTTCCAAAGAAAGCAATGCAATGGCAGCAAAACGTGGCCACGTGTCTGGAAAACGGATTGAGCACAAAATAGTCTAGTTAAGCTCTTCTTATTTTTCAGGAGGTGGCAGAAATGAACCAGAATTAGTAAGGGAGTCAATGTCCACTTTCCTAAATCAAAAGCAATGGTCTCAGTAAGAGAATAATGTCTCTCTTTCTAACTCTATCATTAAAAAGATCAGACTAATAATAGTAATGATAACAGGAGTTAGGCTTTGAGAAGAATCAGTGCCACACAGAAGTCAAAAGGCAAGCAATAGCCTGTGGGGAGAGCTCTGAAGCCCATTTCCGGTGGTGCTGAAGAGACTGGCTGCTGCCTTGCTCAGACGGCGTGGGAGGGGCTTTGCCCAGAAGTGTGTGTGTACCCTGCGCAGCACAGCCAGTCTCCCATGAGACACTCAAAGTCCCCAAGGGGGATCTTTCTCATATCATGTGCATGCATCCTATAGCTTTCTTTCTTTTTTTTTTTTTTTTCTTTTTTGTGAGCGACTCAGCCCACCCAGGGGCAAGGGTGGCACAACATGTGGTGCTGGGGATCAAACCATGGTCCCTGTGCTTACCTAAGCTTACCTAAGCAAGCTCTTTAGACCACTGAGCTATCTCGCCAGCCCAAAGTGTTGGAACCGGGGATTGCACTCGGGCCCTTGTGCTTGCCAGGGAAGCGCTTATTCCACTGAGCCATCTCCTGGCCCCTTCCATAGCTTTCGTGGAGAGGAAGTGTGAAGAAAATAAGGGAAACCTCAAAAGAAGAGTTAGAGCTACCCACAGCAGAAAATACCAAATACGATTCCCTACAGTCTTCCATTTCCATTGCAGAAGACCAAGAGTTGGTACAGAAAAGGGGGTGGAAAGAAAGCCTGCAGCTAGGCTGACGAGCTGAAAGCGTCTGACAAACGCGAAGGAAATCAAGAGACAGGGTGGGGCACAGGGGACACAAACGGCACGTAGGTGGGTTCTGTCTCATGCCAACTCCCAAGGGTGAACAGAACCATCGTAGACTGCAAGCATGTGCTCATGTATATAATATTTTATATGAGAAAATAATAAAATAAGATAAAATCCAGCCCTCTAAGAATTCGCACGGTATTAGCCCACATCTGCCAGCAGGGAATGCGGGAGGTGACACGAGAGACAGGGGATGAAGAGGCAAGAAGGCTCAGCACGGAGCGGCTGCACAGAGGATGGTCAGGTCGAGGTGGAAGGATGTCCGCCCCCACGTGCACTCTCTGTGAATCAGTGGGAAACAACTCAAATGCATATCTGGTCGGCCAAAGTGGAACAGCCTGACACACCTCAGCAGGGGTCTCCAAGCCACCCCCGGAGGCTTCCCAGGGCGCCAGGGTCACCTACCTGTCTTCAAGCAGAGCTCATCGAAGTCATGGCAGCAGCTGCTGTAGCTCTTACACAGGTTGTCACAGCGACAGTCCGGGGGTCCGACCTCTTGAAGCTCAAAGCATCTGCCCTTGCATGATCCAGAGACATTGGTCCAGGGAGCGTCTGACAAGACTGCAAGAACAAAGGGCAGAGGCGATGGCTCGGCAGGGGTCGTGTCACTGTAGAGCAGTGGACTGCAATCAGCCACTAGACAAGCAGCGAGGCCCTGTCACCTGCTGCCCATGCACTAGGAAGGTGGCTGAGCTTGCCTGTGGCACAGCTTCTTCATCTGGAAGGGAGACGATTCAAAAAAGTAAGGGCCAGGGAGATGGCTCAGTGGAATAAGTGCTTCCCTGGCAAGTGCAAGGGCCAGAGTTCAATCCCCAGTTCCGAAAAAAAAAAAAAAAGATATAAAAAAGTAATGCTGGGGGCCAGGTATGTACATACACCTATAATCACAGCACTTCTGAAACTGAGGCAGTGTTGCTCTTGTTCCAGGCCAGCCTAGGTTTGTCCAGTGAGTTTAGGCCAGCCTGGACCACACAGACACTCTGTCTCAAAAGCAAAATATAATATGTAAATATGAAAATATCTCTGAGTTTAAATGAGAATTTAACCAAACAACCCATTTTCAAACACTTCACAGGGTGTCAAATATGGAAAATAACAAAATTTATCAGGTTTATTGATATTTATTGTTATTATGACTGCAAATTTGTGATGATAAATACTGTTGTGGAAATAAAAGTTAATTTTCCTACTTAAAATTCTATGCCTGGGGCCGGGGGAGATAACTCAGTGGATTAAGTGCTTGCCTGGCAAGTGCAGGGTCCTGAGTTCAATCCCCGGTACCACCAAAAAAAAAAAAAAAAAAAATCCATGCCTGGGCCAGGGAGACAGCTTGGTGGCATAAGCGTCTGACAGGCGTGTGTAAGTTCCCGAGTTTGATCCCCAATACTATTAAAAAAAAAAAATTCATGCCCTTTTATAAGGAAAATTGATCCCAAGTGCCAGAAAAATAGTACAAGTTTATGTTGTTGGAATAAAAAACTTACAACTGTTTGTAACTAAAAACCCTTCCCCATACCTATTGCTATACAGTCTCAGCTGGTCAAAAGCAAACCCCTTGCATCATTTTCATGTCATATAATTGTTTAACTAGAAATTTCAAGAATCAACCAAATTTTGGAAAAGGAAAGAATTCAGTGAGAAGACTAATTTGGAATATATAGGCACTGTAAGTTTTCACATTAAATGCAAGTTTCACTTGTGACAGTGCCTAAAAGATAAGGTCATCAGCATATATTCACTAATATTTTGTAGAACCTACATAAAAAGTATTAAATATCTATAAAAAGTCACTTGAAAAGATCTAACTAAATTTGAAAGACATAGTATCTTAGCTACTATATGATATATCTTACTAATTTAGAAATATATCAACATGTCCTAGATATGACTAAAAACACAAGGCAAAGACAATAAAATATCTAGGGTCCTTGAAATTTGAAAAATATGAAAAGTATATTTAAACATAAATAAATGAAGCCAGGCATGGTGGCACATGCCTACAATCCCAGGACTCAGGAGGCTGAGGCAGGAGCATCATTGGGAAATCAAGGCCAACCTGGGCCACAAAGTGAGCTCAAGGCCAGCCTGAACTGCATATTGAGAACTTGGCTCAAAAAGACAAAGGAAGGGAAGGAGGAGAAGGAGGAAGAAAAGGAGGAAGTGGTGGTGGCAGCAGTGGTGGAGGAGGAGGAAGAAGATGAGAGGAAGAAGAAGAGGAAGAGGAGGAGGAGGAGGAGGAGGAGGAGGAGCAGCAGCAGCCAGCGAGATAGCTCAGTGAACTACATCACCTGCTTAGGCAAGTGCAGGGACCACAGTTCAATCCCCAGCACAAAATGCTGTGCCAGCCCCACCCCCAGGGTGTGCTGAGCCAGCCAAAGCCCAGAAGTAGTGGCACACACCTGTAATCCCAGCACTTGGGAGGCTGAAAACAGGAGGATCACAAGTCTAACCTGCATAGTGAGAACTTGCAACAACCAAATACATTTTATTTTTTATTTATTTTTTTCATAATTTTATTGAGAAACAAATAGCAATGAGACAGTTTCAAATCAAATTGGTAGGACAGTTTCAATAATTAACACATTGCATACATTCTTCCTAGTGGTTAATTGCTGTACAAGATGCGGACATGATATCCTATTTACAAATACCATTAGAACAAATCCCTCTATTCATTAAGAGAATGTAACTATATATCTATCCTAACCATTTTGAATACACAGATACAAAATGGACATTCATCTGTATCCCCTTTTTTTGTTAAGTTCCATTATTTGAATATTATAGGTATGTAAACTCAGCAAAATATTCAAAAAGAGTCCAGTAGCCCATAATAGTATTGGGTCTTCCACTTGACTGGCAATGTCAGAAACTGTTGACCTGAGTCCCCTGTAGCTCAATATATCAGCATGGCTTTACTTCTTATATTTCATTTTTATACTTTTCTGCTGGATGGTTAAAACCAAGGTAAAGCAGGACCTATGCAACAAGAGTTGTAGCTTTTGGGTCTGAGAAGGTCAGTGAAATCCCCTCAGGATTTATCCTGAGATCCTGTACCTCAGATTGTAGAACCTTTGTCAGTGTCAGCCATGTGGATGAGTCACGGCCATTGCTTGGCCAATGTGCCCTCTGTGAAAGCCTGAGAGAATGTTTTCTCTCCATGTGACTCTCCTTAGGCATACTCTACATCATCGATCACTTTCCTCTTTGGCCCCATAATCTCCTTGATCAGAAAATTTGGGACACTACTAAGTTACACGATGTTACATTACAAGTTCTCATATGTCCTGAGTCTTAATTAACCTTGGAAGGCTGGGCCAAAAAGTTGGCTTTCCTTGAGGCCCTCCTTTTTCTCTAATTTGGTCTGTAAACTTAGGTTGTTAACCATCCAGAAGACAAGCTTATTGTTATTACCATACAACTTAGGTTGTTAAGCTTAACCTCACTATCTGTCTGAATATCAAACATCTTAGGCATAACATGGAACAGGTATTTTTCATCAAGTATTGATATGTTGAACTTTAAGTCCCTACAGAATATGATTAAAAAATAAAAAATTAGAATATATTTTTAAAATAGGCATAAAGAATTATATACTTCTTATGTTTACACATAAGTTCAAAAATCTAACCATATCAACCTTGAAGCAGGACAGTCCCAAAATATTCCTTTTCCTGTCTCTTGCTTTCATTCACCACCCCCCAAATACATTTTAAAAAGAAAAGAAAAAGAAGTCAGCTGGGGACCCATGTGAATGACACACAGGCCCACCTGTGCCACTGACAGAAGCATCCTGTCCTCGCTCAGGTCCCCACCAGCCCTGAGTGCTCTCTAGCCCACATCACCCAGCACTAGCCCCAGTGGCCTTGGATCAGCAGACCAATGCAAATGGACCCTGGAACCTGGGATGTGAACCAGTCTCCTACATGGTTGCTGGGGGTGGGGGCTGCTGAACACATATGGACGGACGCTGGCAACTCCATGGAGAAGAAAAACAACGTCGTCCCTGTGCCATCCCTGTGTTCCATCAGCCACACTTCCCTACAGACCCTGGCCAGCCACAGAGCACTTAGGGACTACAGCAGGAAGAAGGGGAGAGAAAAGGAGGCATGGAGAATATCCGCGCATGGAGGTAGTGAGGGGGAACTTAGTTCACAATCCCTCTTTGAACGCTGGTACCTAGAGCCCAGCCAAGGGCCACCTAGGAAATTCTGAGCTGTCTTCACTCTCCGGAGCTCCAAATGTAAACACAATAGGTCAAGGCCATTGTAACCCAGCCCTGGGGCCAGTCCAGTCTCCTACAGCACCACCTGTAACCACACCTGTGTGCACCCTCTGTAACCCCAGCCCTCTGGAAGGCTGAGGCAGGAGGACGCATGGTCTAGGCCCACTGGGGCAACTTAGTGAGACCCTGCCTCAATTTAGAAAACAGCCATAAAGCAAGGGCTCAGAACATAACTGAGTACAACAGCCTTAGATTCAGGCCCCCAGCCCATATAATCATGGCCATCATGCTGAGCTACACTACCAATGTCTGAGACGCTGTGTCAGCGGGCTTGCTTGTTGTGTGTCTTCTCTACATGGTCCCAGAGAGCCCTGGGGTTCCCCTGCTCTGTGTCCTTGCTTCCCCTCATGCATAATTTCCTCCTTATTTCCTCCTCCATGTTCAAAGCATCTGTATGAATTGTAGACCATTTCGTGGCTTTCTTCGTTCTACCAATGTGACTTTTAGTGCTAGCTTACATTACTCGCTGTCAGCTGTCCTGTGCTTTGCTTGTAAAAATAACTGAGTCCCACTTGATAGTTTGCCCCTTGCCAAGCTTTGGGAGGCTTTGAGGGAGCTGCGTTTACTCTCTCAGTGCAGAGATGCAGCTCTGGTCTGGCCCCAGGACTGGGTTACAACAGCCTCGACCCGAAGTGAACTCCTGAGCCCGTGTGAGCCACAAGCCTTCCTGGGCCCCAGAATTCATCAGGAAGCAAAATGCAGAGGCCCTGTGAGCTACAAGACCTCTTCTAGTCCAACTACCCCAAGAAACCCAGCTGCCCTCAGCTTTTAGGCACCAAAGTGACAAAGTCAAGCGTCCCTGCACCTGGCTATGAGGTGCAGCCTCGCCACCTGCCCCTGGAGAGCCAGCTGTGCATCTCTCAGGAGTCTGTAATCCCCCTCCTTGCCCAGGGCCCAAGTCCTTCTCTCCACAGCCAGCCTGGGGCCAGATTCTTAGGGCTTCTCTCTTTCCTGCCTGACCCAAGGCCAGAGACAAGATTCCACCATGCATCTGAGTGGGAAGTCTTAAACAGTCCTTGCCTTGGCAAACAGTGAAAGAGTTCCACCACAAGCCTTTGGCTGCTCCAGCTCACGGAGCAGGTAATGAAAACCCAAGGCTCACAACACCTGCAGCAGCCAAAGATTATCCTCACAGCAAAGATGGCTTAGGACAGAGGAGGAAGGCGAAAGCTCAAGAGTGAGCAAAGAGACAAGAAGTACTCAGAAACATCAAAGGAAGACTATGAGTGGGCAAGGGGAGGGGCTGAGAGGGGTGGAGATGGGGCAAGGGCAAGGG